ATCTATTGTTACCTGAAAAAAAAAAATACTTTTATTTATACGAGGGTGTTTTTTTTTTTTTGTGCAGCATTTCTCTGAAGGCTTAGCAATTTTTTCTTGTAGAAATGGCTGGCTGGCTTTACTGTGTTGCTGCGTGTGGCGTATTGCTTGCCATCTTTTTGCAGGCTTAAAAAAAATAAGGCTTGTCGTTTTTATTAGTCACGGCGTGGGGGACAACCTATATTTATTTCCTGTGTTTTTGACTTTGTATATTGCATACAGTCAAAAACACAGAAAATAAATATAGGTTGTCCCTCACGCCGTGACTAATAAAAACGACAAGCCTTAATTTTTTTAAGCCTGCAAAAAGATGGCACTTCCGGGGTTTTCATGTTTGATTTGCCATGATCGATTAGTTTTTGTCGTCTGTCAGACATTTATTTTGTCTGAGCATGCTGGATTGTATAGCTGTGAAAGTTTGGAAAGGGGGGGGGGGGGGGGGGCTGCCTTGTCAGGCATGTCGACGCCATTTGTGGCGCCCCCCCTCCCCCCCCCCCCGCCCCTTCCAGGCAACTGTATTCCTCCACGGTTGTCTTAATAAACTTTGACTGATTTACTTCCAAGGAATGAAACGGGCGGAACGATTCTGAATCAAGTCAACAGCAGAAGGAAGGGTGATAACTAGCAAAATAAATGAATAAAAAACTATCCTGTTCGACTTATTTGTTGCAATATTTATGAGCTATGCAAACTGTGAACGCATGCGATGTTTTTAATATTCTACAAACGTTTCTCAATGTTTATTCTATAGTGTAGTACTTTGCTTCTATTGTTTGTTTTTATTCCAGCTACTATTTTATAAGCACATGTTGCGTTTTTTAGAAATAATATAACTTGATATGGTTCGTTAAGTTCACTCCTAGTTTAAAATATAAGGCTTCTTGGTTTTCAACTTTTTGCCCGCGTGTCACCGGGTGTACGGGGACTGCTTTCAGGGTTGTAGTGAGGCATCTGCGCTTTTTGCCTTTCCTCCCCGCGGGGATGCCGCAAATAAGTACAAGTAAGGACGATATAGAAACCACTGAGTTGATAAAGCGCAGGGTGAAAAAATGAACACAGAGCTTTGCACAACGTAACGCATACAAAATATAACTCAAGTCTTTGACAGCTGAACTAGAACCACCGAAATATATATTATTTATATGTATGAGCCACCTAAGCTTGTCTAACTGCTCGTTTCCTTTATTTAATTTGCAGACGCTTCCTCAGGGTGCATTTTACTATATTATCAAATCGCTACCTCGCTGACCCCCAGAAAGTGTGTCAAGTGTGACAATGGGAGTAATAGTCAATGACACAGCCACCTCAAGAAACGAAGATCTGCCTCCACCTCCGGTAAAAAGTTTTGTAATGCTATTCTGCATGTACATAAATCCAGCTCTTGGAACATTCCTTCATCAATATTGGCTGTTTTATTATTTGAACCATTTACGCAGGCAGATATTTTCACAAAAACTGGTTTCGCTTCTATGGTTCTCCGAATAGGACTGAATGCTTTATGCACTGTTCATGGAATTAGGTGATTTTTAACCTAGTTACAATTGTCATGTCAGACAAACGACAATGCGGTAAAACGTACAAAAAAAAATACAAAGTAAGCAAACTTCCGCCTAAAGAAGTTTTAATAACGGGCGTTGATGTCGTCGTAACAGCAGCATCGATTGCTATAGCGAGCGCGCAGAGCCAATGCCCGCTGCATAACAAAGCCGTAGTGCTGAATGAGATGGCGTCACCAGCAAAGGCCAAGGCTGGACACAGATTGGAAATGAGTGCCGCGTCTGCGCTCAGCTTGGAATCAAGTTTGAGCCGAACGTTGACGCTATCGTCGTGTCCGATATGTGACCAGCTTTGACCTTCTCCGAGAGCACCAAATCGTTCAACACTACTGCTTTGTTATCTATGTGATGTTGGCAGAGCGATAACGGAGCCTTTGATTGCGAAAATTCCGGATTCGAACGAGGGACCACTTACTTTATAAAACTGCATCACTCAAGCAGAATCAACACGCGATAAAAACGCTTCAGCGGCCGCAGAGTTTGAGTAGCAAAAGCTTTCTGCCCCCCAAAAGGTTATCATAAGTGTGGTGCGAAATTGCTCGCCCTTCTCATTGTCTAAGACAGGTGCATCGGCTTGCGGTATGTACTAAGGGTCTTTCTCGGAGATATGATGAAAAAATTAAAACTTGCGAACGTCTCTTATTGTACCGGGAAATGGTGTTTGTAATGAGTGTGCTGGATTCCAAGTCAAAAAAAAAAAAGTACAATACAATAGATCATGCTGTGAAAAGTTATTTCATGGAGCTATTTATTACCATACTTAGTTTCGTGACATGTGCGAGTAGATCCAACGGCTACAAGATGTACAAACACAGATGCTCAAACTAAGAGCGCAAAGTCATGCCGCATGAAACGTGCCTAATTAACTTAAATGAAACCTGAAGATGTTCTTGAAAGAAACGAGTTAGGGGTGAACGTTACCGTATTTTTGCCCTGTGAAGTTGAATATTTTTATATTTATTTATTTAGCTTCAGTACCAGAGGCGTTGCAGTGGGATGTTAAACAAATTAAAAAAAAAGACGAGAGAAAACTGCACAGTTAAAAAAGAGTATAGAGTACGAGCTCTTTACAAAAAATAAAAAAAAGATAATTATGACATTTCTTGAAACCGCACTATCAGGGATTTCGGCGATGGCTCCATGAAGGTGACTGCACATTCTTGAGGTCTTTGAAACAGTCACGAAAATGTTTCGTGCGACTTCATGGACTGCCAACTTTGTGATGGTGATCGATGCGTGCTGAAACATAATGACGTGCTGTTAGTATTTATTATAATGCAATTAAATGCAAAGTTGCAAAAAGTTGGACAAGAATGACGAAAATAATCCCTGCAGAAGGGGAACAAAAAGACAAAGGACAAGCATAAACTCCAAAGGTGACTGGTACGCGACCGCAAAAATTCGCCTTTTCCGGTTATCGAACCCGGGACGAGTGAAAAAGTGAAGAAGTCCCATCTTCAACTTCTTTCACTCGTCATCGTGCTGTTAGTAGCCCTTCTTTCAAAATCGAGTTATGTAAATAATATAAAAGAAGCAGAGACAAAACAATTTTCTACATTGTGAAAGGAGAGATAATGATAAGCTCGATTTTATTGCAGTCACAATAGATCTGCGATGATTGTTGGGTAGTATAAAACGGGACGCGGGATTTTGAGCAGATTCCGATTCTGAAATAAGCGATTTATGACTTGGATCTCAGACGAAAGCCACACATTTCAACTTCTTTATAACACGAGAGAACGCGACCCTACAGCGCACGAAAGAAGAGCGCCACGACAAGAGAGCTCCTGTCATTAGAGCGTGCGTCACGAGAGCGCGTGTGCGCGTTTTGGGAATGATTGATATTGGGGTCTTCAAAGACTTGTTTTTACGGAGCTGAAATTGACACCAAATGGAGTCGCATTTCGAACGCTCGACGTCGTTTAAATGCCTGAGTACGCAAATTAAGCTGGGGGAAGTGGTACAAGCTTGTCGAACGCAGCGGTTTGCAGTCACACCGTTTAAGATGATTTATTTTGTTCAGGTCATCCGTCTGAGCGCAGTACATTACCACGCATTTTTCATCGCTGCCACATATAGGGTGCTCCTTTTAAAATGTGTCGCTACTTTCGCTCTCGGGGTAATTTTATTGGTCATTTTTGTCCTCCAGAAACAAAAATTCGGTCCACGTCTCAATATCCGTGGAAAAAAAATCGGTTTGGCGATGAGTTTTTTATTTTTTTTCTTTAAGGGGGGGGGGGGGGGGGGAGGGGCGGAGGTTGGATTGAACATTTTACTTCTTTACTTAGAGTGAGGCTACAGGAGTGTACCGTGCGCGCATGCTCGCAGGTTTTGCAACATTATCATGCTTAATTCTGGCAAACGTCGGGAAAACATCGACTCTGGAACGCGCTAGGAATCAATCAGTTAGTTCCTACGAATAATGACAAAATACAAAGCTTCATTCACAGATTTTGCAGTGCTGGCTCTCGCGTATGAGATAATCCAGAGTATAACAACCCTTAGACGTTTCCCGAAAAATGGCTTTTGGCCGCTTCCATTTTCAGTGTTCGTGCCTACGGAGCGTGGTTTGCTGCTTTCTGAAGCGATGAACATGCGCGTGCTGAGAACATGAAAGTGATTCGATGCTTGAACGTTCAGCGCTCTCGTGCCGTGCGCTCTAGTGGCGCCCGCGCTACTCCACTCGCATTCGACATTTGACCCGAACATATTGATAGACGCCATAAAACGAGAATAAAACAACGACTGGGTGTGCCGTCATACCCAGAGGTTTCAACTAGTTTCCACTCTTTTGCACGTGCCGCGCTTGATGGAACGTGTGCGGAGTTTTTGACGTCGACGGTAAGGCTTGCGGAAGGCGCGTAAATGTTGCAATTTCTGTACGTCACGATTCCTTCCTTCCACCGAAAGCGCCGAGAAGGACGGGCGTCTGTGCTATTTTCGAAAGCGCTGTTACGGCTGCTTCGCGACAATCGGAAGTATAATATCAATATTTCGTTATACTGGTGGTCATATGAAGAATATTTGTTTTATTTGTTTTTTTCTCAAGTACAGCACCGCTCCGGTTTCCATTTAAGTGGTGATAGCGCAGTTACATAACTATGCAAACGCCGTGACGTTCCGCGTTTGGAACTCCTTGATTGGACTCATCGATATGGAGCATCGGCTGCGGAAGCACCTATGGTGAAATTAAAAATAATTCCGCCGTTGCTTCCAGAATATTTATACAAGTTATCAAAATTTAGTATAATATAGAAATTTCATCGAGGTAGGGCATTGATTTATAAATATGTTTTTCTATCTTATGTATTTTAACGAACTATATGTACGGATTGGAGGTCAGTAATATTTAACTATGACGAATGCCACTGCTCGTGAAACATCAGACAGCTTGAATCTAGAGACATGAGGGCACCACAAGTATGTGTAGTTTGTAGTAATTTGGAGCGAGAGCTTTATAATAGAACAAAAGAGAAGGCTTACTTTATGTTATCTTATCTTATTATACACAGAGCGACGACTACATCCAGCTCGTTAGCGATACGATAGACGAAAAGGCAGATGCACTCAACGAACTGGGCCAATATCTGTGGGAGAACCCGGAGCTTGCCTTCAAGGAGAAGAAAGCCCATGACTACATCACCCAATATTTGGAGTCCGAAGGTTTTTCCGTGACGAAGAACTATATCCTGGACACCGCATTTAGGGCCGAGCACGGAGGTAGGTGCGGCATGCTAGGTACTTAAAGATAAGAAAAAAAAAAAACTGGCTATTTGGTAAATGGGTTTGTGCTGTTTCTTACTTTAGAGCGGGGCCGCGACCAGCGCATGCGTTCTAACAAGGTTGTCTTCACAACTCACCGGGCAATCAGTTCCATTTTCATAAACTGCCGGTTGTCTAGAAAATATTTATACTTTAATAGAATGAATAGCTGGGCAGCCCTAGTAAAAGACCTTGCAGACGGAATGTCTTGGTCCAATAAGCGTGTATGATGAACTAAGATTAAACAAGAACTTCTAACAATCATATTAGAACATTTAAGAAGAATGTAGGGCGTATATAAGAAGTTAAAACAAAATTTTTTTATACCGTCTTATATGTTTGTATAAGGTTGTTGCATGTTCTTTTACAATCTGATTTGACCATTTGCGCTAATTGGGCCAAGAGATTTATTATACAAGTAAGATTTTACGCTAGGGGAGTTGGTAAGGATTTATATGAATACATTGAGACTGGACACGGACGAAGACGAAAGCTGCACGAAACGAACAATTGTACGTTTATAGTATTCTATAGTATATAGTATTAGTATATACTATAGTAGTATAGTATAGTATTTTAGGTTTATAGAATTTATGTCTTAGATTAGTAATTCACATATGCTAAGGCTTTGGCGAGGACAAAAATCATTGTTTCTTCGCGTGAATTTTTAGGTTAGGAATTACAATTTACAATCCCCTTCGTATAAAAAATACTGGTATTTCTATAACCTGTCAAAGGTTCAGAGTAGCAGGTCAAGCTCCTCCCACAATGCCCTACATTATCCACTTTAACAAAGTGAACATAAGAGAGGAGGCGAGTGCAAAGAAGAAGAGTGAAGAGGATGCGAGTGGAGAGGAGAAAACCACCAATCACCGCGAGCAAAAAGCTTCGTTGGAGGGGTTTGCCCTGCTATGCTATACCTGCAACAGTTGGACATTGTGTGGTGCAAGGGACAGTTCATTGGAAATACGGTTGATCCGACCTTAATACGCCCTCTTGCACTTTTTAGACCATTCGAACGGCACTTCTTTCTTGATATGTTTTGTGAGACATTTTGTTAGCTCAAATGAATCACTTTTGAAGACCCGGAAATGCCCTGCCAATCCAAGGAAGACGAGTAATGAGTGAACATTCTATGATATTGCCAAGCTTGAGGTGCGATCAAGAAACGCATGCTTTGTCGTCTCCGTTGCGCCATTATAATACACGACCCAAGAAAATAACCTTGACTTTGAAGAGCTTTTATTTTGCGTTAACTTTTAAGCGTGCTCCTCTCGAATCTCCCAGCACCTTCGCGAAGTGGTAAATATGTTCTGCAGTCCTAACTCTCCTATAAAGGGATTGAAAACCTGATTCATCATTTTTTAAAACCCGGCTGGCGAATTCTTCGGCCCGAACGGCAGCCCGTTGTATTCATAGACATGGAATGGGGTAACGAAGACCGTATAGTTCTATTCTTCCTAAGTTGCACTTTCCAGAATCCTTGCACAAGTCGATACGCGAGAACATCTTACAACCATTCGTCTCATCAGCGATGAATGCGATACGCGGCATGAGAAAAGAAAATAGATCAGTTTGTTTATTGATTAGATGATAATCCGAAAGCAAACGGGAGGTAACATCTTTTTAAAACAATGGTACCTGGTGATGCGAAGCTCAATGTAAACAATCAGGTGATCTTTGCGTCTAGCATCTTCTGCAGCTCCCATTTCAGCCGCACTTTATTTTCTTTTTATTTGGTATGGTCTTTCTCTTGGTAACAGATTTATCTTTAAGCTTAAAATACACCTCAATAGCTGAAGTTGCTTTTCAGTAATCTCTGACACATGAAAGTTTCGGGTACATCCGTATGACCTCTTCCGGTGATTTATGTTTAGGGTTAGCTTTTTTGTTCCGGTGTTGACTGATGGTGAATTCCGCTCGCAGATCTCGAGCGCTTCAAAAGCGCTCCATTTGGAGCGCGCATATTCCGCTCGCAGATCTGGCTCAAGTTGGTCATCTTCCGCTTGTAGATCTCTGGCAGCGCACGCTTCACGGAGCGCCCCAAACTCCGCCGAACTTGCTCTGCGGGGTTTCACAGATCTCTCCGGAAGTTGACAGAGCGGCCCACGTGATTTCCGTCTAAATCGATGGTGCGCATGCGCGGCGAGGTTGGAGACATCGGCGAGCCGGTCGGGCCACGTCAGGGTGGAGGGGTCGTGGAGTTGGATTTATTCGGGTGCGTCGGTTGTTTACTCTGGATTGTGACGGCTCGAAAGCTTCTACCTCGCGTAGATCAGGGATAAAAAGCCGGGAATGTGGAGCGTGGCAAATCGTAAGCGCTGACATCTGTGATCGTAAGAGGAAGAACGAGAAAAAGAACGACAGAAAAGCCGGAGGCAGACGCAAGGTTAGGCCTATCCATTCTGCAGCCAGTGATTGTTTACCTTTTTACACTGCATTCAGTCGGCGTTTTCCCGTGAAATAAAGCAAGAAGTGGTTAGGCAACGACCGCGCAAGTGATGGTTTGTTACCTCTGTGTTTATTTAAGTCGTACTAGAAATCTGAACTCCACCGCTGGCAATCGCTGTCCGTGCCCCGCCGCTTCGAGGCGGCCGAAAGGTAGGTGACGGTGCCGAACGCGGACGTCTTCGTTATTTGTGACTTGGGCGCTGTGGTACGTATAATTTCGCCCGGCCTGTGTCGCGTGTTACTTCTGCAGCTAAGCAGTGACAGTCGTCTCAGGTCGTCGGATAAATCAGCCGGCTGAGGCGTTGGTGGGCTGGTCAAGTTTGAGCAGCGGCCATTTTGTACAACGGAGGGAGAAGGGGTGAGGAGGGGTGTGGGAGAGGTCGCTCCAAAAATGCAAGTTTATCTTCCCCTCGTCGATTTGGAGCGGGTCCCACGGAGCGGAATTTTGCCTCCCTCGCGGATTTCGGAAAGCGCTTCAGATCTACGAGTGGAATTCGCCATGAGTCGTTTTGAAGTCCTTTTATCTCTGTACACGCCGACCTCCACAATCCAGGACATGTTTGGGCGTATCTATTCAGTGACTGGTCTGTGCAGGAGCAGCTAATAGGCTGCATTCGGGTCTTTACTTCAAATGAAATTGTTTAGTAGATTATCGTAATTTTTGTCAACTGGTTGCACGCCTGCTTTCCACCATTGTAAATTTAAACCTCAACAGTGTCATCAAAAAGTATGTCGGCGTCCTTAACTTGATTCTTGTTGACCATGCCAAGACTAGCCTCACTGTGAACTAAAGCTAGAAGTTTTTTTTTTTTGCTGTTTAGAGTGACCTTAATATGCGATAGGTAGCGTTATTTAGACATTTAATCTAACTTGGTATCAATGAGTAGACACTGCAACCTTTTTTTTACATTTATATTATCTTTCATTTTATCTTACACTTTCTCTTTTTGAGACATGTCGATTGTGATGAAATGGGTCGTTCTTCGCCTCCAATAATCTGGAAGATGTATTTGTCCAAGCGGTACGTAGAATTGGTTTAGTATATTTGAACTGCACCTGCAGATACCCCCAGAGATTCCGCCACTCGTATGGGCTGACACGCGCACATTGTTGCGCTTTGGCAGCGCCGAGCTGCACGCGCTAAGTACATCGCTGGTTTCTGATGACGGATTCAAGCTTAGCTTTTGCAATCTTTGTAGCGATTCCTCAACGGTCGAGGGCATCTTCACTTGGACTTACTTCTGCAGGTCCTTTGTCGACCCATGAATGATCATAGGGAAACCAGTGAAGACTCCGGTAGTTTTGAGTCCGCGATTTAGAGCAGCCTCATTTTCAAAGCAAAATAGAGCAGCCTGGGTCCTCCCTTGTACATGAAGGATATCGCTCGACTCCAGGCATTTTCGCCGGAGGAAATTTTTACCTCCATTCCGGCGATGATATTTGTTCATGTGAGAGCACTCGGAGCTCCTACCCCTTCTTGGACATTCCACCGCGAAAAAGACGCAAGGTCTTAATATTGTCGTCCTCTTCATACCAGGGGGTTCGACCACGTCCATATTCGTAGAAGTTTATCCAACAGTCAGGGCTGCTCTAACCTCCGTTAATGATGTCGGCCTTCACCACTTCCATGTTCGCCGTTTGCATTGTCAAAGCATTTATCCGCCAGTATTCCGACTGCAGTGCCATGATTTTTTTTTCATGTTAAGCGATTTAACAAGCCGAGTGCTAGCTTGTTCGGACTGCCAAATCGGCAGAATTGCATATTCATCTTGGCAAAATACATCTTCCATGCTTCAACCTAGCTTGGCAGGTAAATACTAAACAACGTCGACGGTGCTTACCGCCAGTGGTTAGACAACGGGAGCTTCATTTTGGGGCTGGCATTTCGTGAATTTGCATAGAAACAGGTGCTAGAATAACCTAGGTGACGGATCAATCTAGGAAACGAAAAAATGACGTGTTTTAGGACGGTTTCTGTCAACGATTTATTTTTTCTGGGCTCAATATTTCTCGGTTTAGGTCAAAGCTTAAGTTTTTGGTATATATAATTCGTGGTTTCTAATTTTTGCGACGCGGTGCGATATCGATATAGATTTTAATGTGTTTACATTTTACTGATATTTTTGGCGGGAGCTATTTTTCGGGAATGTTAGGTGATTCGCGAAATCGCGAAAGTTCGGTCCTCGCAAAAATTAAGTCGTTTACAGTATTTGGTATAGGCCATATTAATTTCATAACTGGACGCGTTGTTTACATGCATTTCATAAATACTGTGTAAAGAGACAAAGTAGATTACATCATTGCATGATGAAATTAAATAATCAGTAAAAGTTACCGATTATATCTTTGTTTTGTCTGCGACTTCTCGATGCGCTTATGCAGAGACCACACTAATTCACTGGATATCTAAATGGCGTCTTATATTAATGCATGTCACAATTTCGAATAGTATGTGTAGGTCTTAGAGTGTCGTCTGTTTTCGAAAATGATTATTACAATGAGAACACGTCATTACAAGCAAAAAATACTGAAACATTTTACACGTCCACTTAAACTAATGAATCAAATTTGAAGTGAGTTAGGACGGTTGTGTCCAAATTCTAGTTTTATTTTCAGAGGTAGGACGAAAACAACATTACATCATGACAGTATATAGTAAATATATGAAGCGTAATAAACAAAATTAATCCCATGTTTTTTTCATTTTAAATGGTTTCGATGTTTTTAAGCAGAGACAGAAACAATAATTCTGAAGGGTTAATTGCAGCATGTCTGCATTAAGTGACTCTGCGCTGTCAGAAATTATGTAATATATGACGTACCTGCTTCCTAGGTTTGAAATGTTGTAAGTCATTAAATTTTTATTTTCAAGAAAATTACTAATTACTTTCAACTTACATTTGACAAAAATGTGACATTACCGGTGGACGAAAAACGGGCATGGGCGGGGCCGGGTAGGGGCCCCGCCCCAGCCCGTTCCTGTGTGGATGAGCATCGTACCTGTGTGCTGTTGTGTACTGTTACAGTGGAATGGAACTTAAACTCCCAGGCCTAGAGTGATGCTTTACTGGCTTAATTTCTCATCTACTGCGTTAACCATTCTCGCCGCACCTTAAAGGCAGACCAAGCTTATGCTGAATAAATACAAAAGTCGTTTTTTTTTTTTACTAACTTATTAACATCTTTATAAGTCACCTGCAAATAAAATTTAAAATTACACACTAAAGCTGGTCGGAGGCAAGAAAACAAATTTTAAAAAAAAGTTCATAGCAAAATGAACAAAAAAAAAACAACCAGACGTGCTCTAAAATAAAAAGCGCCCGCAACGCAAAAAACAAAGTCGGCCTCCTTAAGAACTGCACGACTAAACGAAAAAAAACTGAAATATGTCAACTAGGGATTTCAGAAAAAAACTTATTTCAATTTACTTGTGTCAGAAAATGCTTAAAGCACTTTCTCGCACTTTAGGATTTTGCTTATCGAAATGGGAAGCCGGCTCGAGACATACCATATACGATGCTATTTGATTCAACTATCCGATGTAATACTCGTTCATTCACTGAAATGAAGAAGTTCGACGACCGGTCGCAGTGCCGTGTAACTTCAGTCAACATATTCAAATGCTTATCACGTAGAGGTAGCGACATTCATTAGTTCCTCACGCACTAAAAATATTCAGCAGACGACATATCACTATAGAGAGACGGCGCACTTTTGTGTGTGGTGGTCAAATGCCGGCGGCGAATGGAATTATACCTCAGCGGAGCAGCGGACAAGCCTCACTTTTTGCCAAAACCTGTGAACATTATCTTCCAGAGCCTTGCAAATGGTTCAGTGATTTAGCAGGTGTATGGTGGCGCAGACATGACTTATTCCCTGTCCTTAAGCGTGTCTGCCATTGAATAGAAGGAAAGGTTTTTGTTGAAGACGACAGGCCTGCGGGCCGCCCAGCTAGAGATTTCGTGATCGAAAAACTATAAGAAGACCGACGAACAAAAGTCCCCTTGTCCGCTACCGCCTCGAGGGCACCGCAGACTTAAACCTAAGACAAAACAGAAATAAATATGATCTTTGGATTAAGTGGCGTTTTATAAAAAAAGCCAATAGGTAATGGAAATGAAGAAAAGATCAGGGCCTCGCAGCCCAACACCGTGAAGGGGTCACTGGGGGGGCACCACTTGTAGGTCAACGATAATCGCAGGGGAACAAGAGAGCCAAGCAACCACCGCTTCAGTGAATTTTTCTTCCACCCCTCCCTAGGAGGAGCCCCATTAAGGACCCCCCCCCCCCCCACCCTTTCTTTTTTTTTTTTTGGGGGGGGGGGGGGGGGTGCGGAAGCCGCTCAGCTACAGTACGAACCGACATTCAAATAAAGTGAATTTAGCACATTGTCCATAAACATCGGGCGGAGACCATTTTTCGAATTGTAGCAGCAGGGGGTATTATCCAGACAGCTGTCACGCTATGCTGAAAGGCAAAATTAACATGACCCGTTCTGCGGAAGACGTCGTTCCGTACACGCTACCACACGACCACTGTCAAGAGAAGATAATCAGTTCCAGAGACGCCGTTTAAAACAATTTGAAATTTCGGCAGCTGAATATTCCTTGCTATCCAACATTTTCTTTCCATTAGAATATGAATTTAAAGCGGAAATCATCGACTCCAAATGTCTCTTCTCCGCATGCAGCAGAAGGGGCCCCTATGACAAGTTTGAAGGTAAAAAGGACCATTCTGCGACGTAGCTGAAGGATCGTCTTTACATCAGTAAACACAGCATAGAACCGGGCCAATGTCGAGCTTGACCGTACTTGGCTGTCGGGCTTGTCGCGAGTCATTGCCTTGGCATCGGCACGTGGGCGGACGAAGATTAATAACGCCAGTGATCGCTTTTGCATCTCGTGGCTCAGCTTCAAAGTTTCATGAGGTTCCCGCGCGCTCACTCACCTCGGGGTTCCATACTTATGCATTGCCATAGCAGGCAATGCATTAGTATGGAAAGCGTATGGAATCATATTTAGTCATTATGATTTATACATAGTAATAACTGGGCACAACGAAACGCAACCACCGAGCTGTACCATGGGGATCAGCAGCAATCAAACCACGGATTATGCGATTCGCAGCATGGCACATGTGCCTGGCAGCAAACAGTGGAGGTTAAAGGAAGCACAAGCAGACGAACCAAGTGTGGCTTGCCTCCGACGATCGCCTGAGGTAGCACGCGATTTTCGACGGCGAGCCCGTCACACGTAGTCCGCGGGGGACTGATGGCGGCGAGTCATATTTATTCCAGCATACTCAGTCCACAGGTAACATTCGGCACCGTGTCATACTTAATAAAGATACTGGGTCCGCAGAGGACCGTTGGCAGAGGGTCATAGTTAGTCGGCACACTTAGCCCGCACTCAACCATCGGGGGGATGTCATACTTAGTCTAGCATATCTAGTTCGCAGGCAAACGTCGGGGGCGAGTTATTCTTAATGGAGAATACTTACTCCCCAGGCGACCGCCGGCGGCGGTCGCCTGCACAAATTTAGTCCAGAAAGAGTCATATATGCTCCGTATGTTAATGACCGTCAGCGGTAAGCCATACTTCGGTCAGTATGCTGAGTCCTCATGCGACCGTCGGTGGTGTGTCCTACTCGGCAGTTGACCGTCGAGCAAGGTCAAATTTAACCCAGCGTACTGCGTACGCACGCAACCGTCGGCAGCGTATTATACTCAATTCGGCATAATGACTTGGCAGGCGATCATCAGATCGCACAGCTAGCGCCCGAATAACGAGGCAGACTACGTCTGGACATCAGGACAGGCGTCATAACGTACCAGGAGATAGCGCAGCGGGTGTAGGATGTCGCGAGTTTAGGTAGCAGTCAATAAATAGCGCAAAGGGCGGGAACCGCCTCCTCCTCTCCAGATTATTTGACTTACCAAAAGGGAATCCTCGCAATCCTAGTGCACTACGAATTAATGGCTTTCCACGGAATCCCGGCAGAGGCAGGAGCAATGCAGACTTCGAAATAATGCATGCTCGGGGCGCGCTTCTTTTCTGACTAAATGTAAACATGCCTCGAATATTTTCATAAATTAAATTTCATAATTAAATTAATACCTTCGAATCTCGTATATAAAAGATAATTTCTGGAAAGTATTAGGAACCTTAGTATAAGAAAGGTTCAAATTCTTTTAAATAGACACGTTGGCAGAAATCAATTGAACAGCAACCTTTTTTCTCTGCAATGCGTATTTCTGCAGGAGCGATTTTGCCTGCGTTTCGAGAAATGCGTTTCTTTCTTCTCTCATTTTGGCATTGCTCTCTACATGTAGGAGGCTTAGGACCGGTCGAGCTGCTGACACAACTTTTTTTTTCAGCTTTCACTTTGCTTATTACATGGTGAATGCAGATATAGAAAATGTATTGTTGTTGCCTTTTTTAATAAAAGCAAATTTTCTCATATTTCGACCGTAACATATCACTTTGTAATGATAATTTTCGCATGCGGGTCTTCCAGTTGCACATACGACAAGCGAATATTGAGTTCGGCCTAAATATTCTTTTTGTCTGCAAGGTTTTAAGGATTATGAAGACTTTTTTTACAAAGGTAACCTAAAGGCGCGTACGATATCAAAAAGCCCATGTGAGGGCGTAGCTCTTAAGCTCTTCAGTGCTAAATCATGAAAGAAATCTGAGCTATCATCAGGCTGTTGTGCGCTCAACAGGCTCTTCGGCGGCTGTTTATTTTTTGTCGGTATACGATTTGCTGAGTCAACACCTCGGCGCTAGTTTTGGATCAAGGTTTTCGCGTTCCAATACAAAATCCGAGAAAGAGGGGTCCTAGAATTGAGCGTGCAGTCGTGGTGCGTTGCTTCGTAAGATCGTAGATTAAAAATTAGTGTTTTTTTTTTGTTGTTAATTTTATAAAGTTGAATTCAACAGAGAAATGCACACATCGACAAATAGGCTCAGTGAAATTAAAAACAAAACAAGAACGCTTATCCTCATTTTTGTTCGCAAAATTATCATAGAAAGTCTGAAAACTGATCGCTGAACTTGCCAACCCGGCAGTTTCAGCCGCGCTTGATTTCAAGTTTTGTCGCGGAACGCCACTACAAATTAGCATTAACTCTGCAACAGCCGCTCAAGCGGGCAGCGACGACGAAAAATTAAGCAGCCGTTGAAGCCTGAATAATATTCGAGCTTCCTTCGGAGACATAGCACTGAAGGGATTCTGAGCACCTTGCTCGGCCGGCTTTTTCCTATCGTCCGTAACTCTCAAACTAGGTAATAATAACATATATATTTATAAAAAGCCCGATCTTATGTTGTTCCACACCATCTTAATAGCAGATGGAGGGCCACTCGTCATTATTATGTGTGAGTACGACGCACTTCCGGAGATCGGGCATGCTTGCGGCCATAACCTCATCGCTGAGTGCGCTGTAGCAACCGGAATCGCTGTAAAAAAAGCGCTTGAAAGTGACTCTTCCCTCTCTGGAAAGGTAAGAGATTGTTTCCTTTTTATACCACAAAAACTATCAGCCTGCGTTGAAAATAAATTATTTCTTGCGAAATGTGGCTCTCTAGACTAGTGACAACTCTTTCTAGTTACAGTATAGCTAGGCGGCATCGATATTGTGCATTTCTGGCATGTTGTTTTCTGATTGCATTTCAGTAATTACAGCACTGCATCGGCTCTTCCGACCGATAAAACACGACGAGCCTTTTGCGGGGGGAGTGGGTGGGGGTGCGTTTTCGAGTTTATTGGTCGTTATTTGTGCACAAGTGGGGCAAAGGGAGCCTCTCACCCCGAGAAACAGATAGCGAAACAGTGCTGACGCGTGGCACTGCTCACTAAATGATGCATCTATCTTTGTTTATAATGAGAACAAAACATAACGCTTATAAATGACACAAACATCACTCTTATAAAAAGAATCAGAAAGCCATAGGTGAGGGTGAGAGCATAAAGCCGAATACTTATTGCAACAGGCAGTTGGAGGTACTTTGACAAAGTTGCGATCATATGTCAATCGCTGCAGGGGCTTACGCTGCCTCAGCGACGTTCTTGGGGCGGGGGTTGGTGACGCACTTCTTGGGACACGGGTCACCGTTCGCGGTTCCTCACGTGGTCTCGGTGTGTGGTTTGAGGCTTAAGCTGAAGTTTCACTTTAGTGCGTACCATCCTCGCTGTAGTCTGCAGTGCCCGAGTGAAATGCTTCTGTGGTCGCCTGCAAGTGTTGTCGATTCCGCCGCAGTAATTTGCCTTCGGATGTGATGCTGCTATAGACCAACACGCGTCCCTGACGTCACGCAGCTGCGGTGGCGCTGTCGACGGCACTGCGCAGGCGCAGAAGCTTCAGTTCACTCGAATTCGGTTTCTGCGCATGCGCAGTGCCCACACCTGGTGTGGGCAAACGCGGGCTTGTTTGTAAACAACGTGTCGGTCTATAGACCTTTCCAGCGACAGTCTCGAGCGAAGCGATTTCCAGCGCGCGTCCCTGGTTTCGAGAGTGTACGTCAGTGTTGCCCGACTGCGCTGAGCTGTGGGTTTTCTCGTCAGTAGGCTGTGGAAGCCTGCGTAGGAGTAATTTTGAGCGCTGGTGACAGCAAAATCGCCTCGCTTAATTTTTTTGTTTTTTGTTCCATGGCGAAGAGAATTTCTCGAAGTTTTTAAGAAAGCGTTGAACTATTTTTGGGAACAAAAACAAACAAACGAAAGCTATTTTCGGCGAGTCCGTGTGCGACAGAACAAATGCAACTCGGATGTTTGTTTCATTTTATGCGGACCTTTTTAACGGCGCCATATACTCAGCCGTGTAAAACTACAAAGATCTTAACTGCCAAACATATTTGACCACACCAGAGGATAGCCGAACTGCATGGGTATTGCCCGCTTACTATATGAAATTTAACGAGTCTCATCAATCGGACAACATATATTGTACGTACCCCACGGTGCCGCGTTATTCCAACAGGATTTGAGAAAGGTCTCAAACAACACAGCACATCCAATATACAGTGTCGACGATAGTCACTTCACGACGATCGGACGGAATCCGGCTTGTCTTGGGGTACGTTTTGAAGCCTGTTGTTTTTTTACACAGCACTAAAGCAAATGAACGAACATGTCTATTCAGTTCCCATACCCCGGACCCTATCAGCTACTTCTCGCCAAGACCGGGAACATAGCCGGGAAGGCTTTTCTTAGATTATCTCAACGGAAATAATCCTCGAAGAACGTCGAACGGCCCGCGTCGTGGGCTGCTTGACGTTCGCTCTCTTCGCTCGCTCTCTTCGTTCGTTTCCTGCGAAGGTCGAGCAGGTTACGAGCCTTGGTATTCCCTGGTTCTCACAGTTGAAGGTTACAAAAACACGCAAGCATCCTGTACAGGCAAATAGAGTAAACACTTTGAAGGAAAGCCGGCGAACTTCGAACACACAATGCAGGTGGGGAGTCGCGCTGACCGGGTTTCCACAGCTCAGGCGGGTGGCAGAAATTTTTGGCTGATAGGGGTCGCTCGAGTCGCAAAATGGCGGCGGCCAGAAAGCCTTTTTTGTAAAGGTCTAAATGATCCAGGATTCCTGGAGTACTTCAGAGCCTGGGTTCTAGTTACCCATTTACCCGGTCGGTGTCTCCTCGATTCAGGGGTACCAATGAACCCCTCTTACGGTCTGGTTGACTATGTTCATTCATTCATTTATCTCACCGTAAGGACTCGTTTAGGCCATTACATAGGTTGGTGACCAGGATCGACGTGATTGTCCGGTAACGTCGTTAGCAGCCTTTTGCCTTGAAGTACCTCGGCGGGTCATGGACTTGATTTCAGTCGGGTGGTCCCATAAGCAGGAAATCCCAGGCATAAGTTGTGGTTCGCTTAAGTAGTCGTTTTTAAGATTCGCTTCACCACTTGCACCTCTTTTACCACCAGACCGTTAGATATCGTAAACCCTGAACTAGAGGCGGTGTGCTTGAAATTCGGAGTTCAAGAGAACGACAAAAAGCCGCCTCTTTAAATCTGCGCACCGTTATCGGAACACACCTCCACTGGCAAAGACGGCACTCGTTACCTTCACAACAGGTTTTGAGGAGGTTTCTTTGAGCAACTCGACCTCAGGAAATATAAACAGGGCCTAACAGGCAAGTAAAACCTTCCGCCATCCTTGAAAATGTCTTCCGACCCGGTACCGCGGTTCGTTTGGGACCGGGAACATCATAAAAGGCTTTTGTGACTTGTTGTATGGGTGTTTCCTGCACACTGAACACGTTTTGACGAACGCCTCTACATCTGAATTTATTCTGAACCCAAAGACGAGATATCGCGCCCTCACTTTGCATTTGTTGAAGCCCATCTGTCCTTGATGGATTCTTTCAAACGTTTTCTGCTTCATCCTGGCTTGAATTCCCACTTTAGAACCTTCCAGGAGGACTCCCTTAACTTGCAAAAGCTGCCTCTCAAACAATTTTCACTGGCCTTCGACAATATACCCGGTTTTCAAGTCTTAAAGCGCACGTTTTAGAAATTCGTCCTGACGTGTTTCTTCAGCTAACCGCTTCCATGTTGAGTCACTGACGAGTGAAGAAACCGCACTTAGAGCGTGTACTTCTACGTCATCGTTGTTTTCGCCGCCACCCGTGTGGCCTCTTACCCTGGAGCATGACAGCATGTCGGCCAGGAGGAGCTGCTTCCCTGGAACAAAGTACATTTTAATGTCGTTACGGAGCAACCGTAGAAAGGAACGTTGCAACCTTGGCGGCATGTCGCCATTCGCTTTTTTGCAAGATAGCGATCCAAGGGCGATGATCTGTTAAATCTGTTAAAACTTTCACAGTCAAACGCGGTGGCCATCGCCGCGTTTTTTATTTGAAAGTATCGCTGCTGTGTTTCCGTGAGTGTTCGAGAAGCGTATTGCACCGGCATCCACGCCGTCATTGTGCTACGCCAACAACGCCACACTCCGATGCTGTTTTGCTACGCATCACAGGAAACTTTTGTTGCTTTTGCGGGGTCAAATACTGCAACCAGCAGCTGCTTGCATTGGCTACCACACAGTCGCTTCCATTCCATCGCATGAGTGGCCGTCGAATCAAACGCAGTGTCACTTATTTGATCAAACTTCTCCGAAGTGATGTTCTCTGAGCCAAGGGCGGTAAAAACTTGGTTAAATAATTGACACCACCTAGCATTCTTTGAACTGCTAGCTTGTCGTCCGGCGCTGGAAGTTCCAGCACGCAAATGATGAGCGATGGGCACAGCCTGATGCCTTCTTTTGCGATTACATGTAATAGGAAGGCAATATCCTCGACGCCAATGACGCAATTATCCTGGTTGTAAGTCAATCCGGCGTGTTTGGATTGACTTACAACCGTAAACATCTTCCCGTCGCGACATTACACTATGTAATGACGCGGCGGGAAGATATAGAACCTGAGTTGTCATGAGCAGCAATGTCTACGCGCCTTGATGCAAACTCGGGTTTCCATCAAATCCCCCTTCCGACAACACGTATCGGCTGTTGCGGGGGAGAAAGTAGGACGGCGAGCTTATTGACCACCATTTGTACACACGTGCTAAGGAGGGAGTGAATGCCCTCACCATGAGGAACCGATGACAAAAATGCCGACACTTGGAACTCCGCAAGATACAATGCAAGCAACAAGGTATATAGTGTTATTTTGTGTCTAGTTGACAACAAGACAGCTTGTATGTGCTCAGTTAGCAATGCTGCGAAGTGACTGAATAAAAGACGCACACAGCGTAGGTTAAATTTATATCCTGAGTAAACCAATCAAAGTGTCATCCACCACCCAGTCATTAACATAAAATGGTATAGCCTGCCAGCATTAGCCATTTATAGCCTATATCATAACAGTCTAGTAGATGCCAGAAAAACCTACAGCCCATTTAGGTCTCACTAATAAGGTTTGGTCTCCAGCAGTTATCTAATCATGGCGAATAATTATCGACCTTTTGTGGCTATTATATTTTCCCAGTAACTATTTCGTTACAAAAATAATCAAGATGCTTCAAATCAGGCACACTGTAAATCAAAAAACGAAGTTTGCTTAAAGGAACCGATTTGTATTAACATGTTTCACACTTGGAAAACTTTTCCAGGTTGTAGTGCTTGGCACTCCAGGAGAAGAAGGAGGCCAAGGAAAGGTTTACCTTCTTCGAGACGGAGCCTTCGAAGGTGCGGACGTCGCTTTAATGGCGCATCCGTTCGACAAAAATATTTCACATCCTGTTACCAGTGCTCTGGCTCAGGTAAACCTTTAAGAACTGATGCCGTTGGTCGCAAGGCTTTAACGATTTTATTTTTAGTTTATAACTATGATATCGTTTTTTTTCTCGTTTATTTCCCGCTAAATTCGGAGGGTGTCCTTAAGAGTTTATTTATTGCTAAAAGTTTGAAATTTATGGTGAAAACTATCTGTGGAGAAGAGCAACAAGGGGAACAAAGGACATCACAAGCACAAACCTCCAAGCACAACTAAGTGACTGGTGCGCGACCGAAAAACTCTGCCTGCTCCTGGTATCCAACTAGAGGCCTCTCCATTTCCAGAGGAGCGCTCTACCAACTGAATTGACCAGGAGTGAGAGGTCAGTAGAACAAACGGATTTTATCAGCTGGCACCAGTCTAACACCAACAAGAGTGAACGACTTGGCTGCGTTTGCAGATTTGTGTTTTTATATGTCCTCGTTGTTGCCCTTTTCCGGGAATAATTTTCATCATTCTTGCCAAGCTCACTTGCACCTTTGCATTTAACTGCATTACCATGACTTGTAGTTCATACGTTTTTTTAGTTTGCCATTTTTCTCAAATTTAGAGTTTAATCGTAATGTGTTGTCAATTTTTTGTACATTCATAGACACAATTAATAAAGTCCGGACACAAACATACCTTAAATTCTTCACAAGCTACCTGTTTCGAATAATAGTTCTGCAGCTGCATTTGGCATTGGCACCCTGGGCGTTGCCAGTACTTAGTATCCCACGACAATTATTACGGAGAAGTGTTACCTCAATAACGGTTGATTATTTGAAATAACTAAACGCTGCAACGTAGTCACTCGGAAGCACATAAGCTTTAGCTGCCCTCCCCCTGCATCGCAATCTACGGATTCATAGCCCTTACTGTTACAAAATAACTACTCATCCTTCCTCTAAGAAACAGAAAAAGTATGGTTTAAACTGGAAGCGTAAACAATGGCTTTTGCCGAGACCCGGGTCTTCCGAAACCCGTTTTTATGGACGAACCTTAACGAGCTAAAATCTCAATCGCCATTTGTCAGTAGTACGAGATTTAAAAGGCAACTGAAGAGGCCTCTCCTAAAGGACTACTGACATGTTCTCTCATAGATATTTTTTTTTTGCAACACTGACTTTTTTTTGCCTTTTTTTTTGTCGTGACCTCGAAACTTTGGGTGTTTCAAATACATTCGAATTGACGGAAACTTCACTGGCGAGTTTTCTTCAGATATTTTTGTTTCGTTTAAAAGAGAACACGAATCCATATTTAAAATATATATCGATTTCGGCACATTGATACTTTAGACCCATGTTGTTGTAAAAAAAACTATCTCCAAACTCCGGTCTAAAAACATGCTTTTCGTGCAAGGCTCGTCAAATTATGAGGCGCTGGAGAAATGCAGTCTTCTGCGTTAAGTCCTTATTTCGAACTCTTTTTGTTCGCCTTCCGCCCATTGAAAAGCATGCGGGAAGGGCCTTAGAACGCACCTGGTATCGCTACGCCGCAGCGTTCTTCCACATCAAAAAGTTCGTCTGCTTTCCTCGCCGTCACCATGGCAACGAACGCCGAATGAATAGAAGCACGCACGGTACCGCCGCGTGAAGCCAGCAACAGCTGACGCCATTTTACGAACGCCGTCTGCTAGCCACATCCGAACGCGGTGTGTCAGATCAACCGCCTCCGCCGGTGCGCCGCTAGCAAAGACGACGAAGCTGAGGCACGCCGACGGCGAATGGGCGAGCAACCGCACCGCGGGACGACTGCAACGGCGGCATTTATTGGGATCAAAGGCGCGAAATAAGCAAGAACAATTTTTACTTTGAATCATAACACCCGATATCCAAGTTGGGGACCACATACCTTTGCTGGGTCTCTTCTGTGAACTTTTTACAGAGACAGGGGGTGCCGCATTCAAAACACAGCTCCGTTTGCAAAATATGGGGGCCCTGAAAAGGACCGTTGAGACCGCTACCAGAACCTATAACTGACGTAACGAGCACTTGACGAGCGGTTGGCGCATAAGTCGTCTTTATGCATTTTTTTTATTTTTTTATACGTGGTGCAAAGTAATCCCGCCCCATATTTTTATGGCGTCAGGAACGAAGCAGCATAGAAAGAGTACCCTTCAAACGATAATAATAATAATAATTAAAAACTGCCGGATCTCCGCTGGAGACTCCGAGGCACAGTGGAGTAGTCGTCACGATAAAAAATCTAAAGAAACAAAATAAATAGCCTAACGGTCGTCGGCTGCGTCATAAGGCCTCGCCAAGTGCGGAGTATAACGGTCTTGGCATACGGTATGTATTGTGCATTCGTTATTTTCTTTTCTTTTCTACCACGTCAAATTCTGACGCCAAGACTCTCTACCTCCTCCGTTCCAACGCGTTGTTTGTTATTATTTTAACAAATCAGCTTCAAATAAGGGTCGTGGCACCCAGTAGAGTAAGCAAAAGAATAAAAAAGGAACATTCCGAGCAGCCAGAGCAGCACGGCTGCTCTGGCCGCTCTGGACAGAGCAGCTCCTCTCATCAAAGAAGACGCCGTCCGAAACTCCAACGACTCCCTTCTTATTTTTTTATTTTTATTTTTATTCACTTTGTTACTTCATTTTGTTGTTGGGTTCGACTGCTCCCTTCTCTGTGACGATGCCGTCCGTGGACATACGTTTGGCGTTTCTTTTTTTCTTTTTTTTTATGTCACGCGATGGTGTGGTCCGACAGATCAACCAATGAGTTTGTTAGAATTGTGTCACGAGGTATAAAATGGCGGATGAAATAAATATAATAAATGCAAAGAAGCGCGCAGTTCCCCTTCGGCGCTTTATTCTTCAAGAGGCGAGCATCGCAGTGCCATGGCGTTCAACTTGTGCCGTCTTCTTGGCGCCATGAAAGACCCTCTTGAAGCAATTAATTTGCTTCAGCGCGTTGGCCTGCTCCTGGCTCCTGGGTTTTCGTGCGTGTCCAGAGTGCGAAGCTGCGATGACAAGCTGCAAGTCCGCGCTAGATCTGCGGATGGCTACACGGGGGGGGGGGGGTTGCGGTGTGTGGATGACTCGTGAGGTGCCCAAGAGGAAACCGGTCAAAGTTCAGTGCCGGGGCGAGGTCTCGGTACGGAGCGGTTCCTTTTTCGAAGGATCGCACGCACCTCACGTTTCTCCAACTCATGAAAATCATCCTCCGGATGCCAGAACCTACCGTGCGCCGTCATTCAGCGGGAGGCTGATATCGCTAGTAATACAATAACTGATTGGGCGAGCCTTTGTCGGGAGGTTGTGGTAAATGCCGTCTGTAAGCATTCAGACATGATTGGTGGCGAAGGCGTGACTGTAGAACTAGACGAGAGTATGATCGGTCGGCACAAGTACCATCGCAGGTATTTAAGGCCTGGCCAGTCGGTTTTCGGTGGTGTGGCGCGTTGCAGCGGGTGCTGCTTTTTTGTTCCCGTGGAGACCCGTGACGCTAAAACCCTGCAAGGGCTAATAGCCAAGTGGGTCCGCCCTGGAACAAGAATAATCACAGATTGTTGGGCTGGCTATCGCAAGCTTGCAGATGACGCTCGCTTCACGCACCTCACCGTTAACCACAAGCTGCACTTTGTCGACCCGAACACTGGTGCGCACACCAATACGGTGGAGGGCACCTGGGCCCACGTCAAAAACTCTCTTCCACGTGGACGGCGCGAGAGCCACCATTTCACTGGTCACCTTGCAAAGTTCATGTTTTGGAGGAGAGAGAAGGCGCGGAAACACTGATAGATTCCAGTCGTTCGTCGCCGCGGCCGCCAAAATCTAGAGCCCCGACGCAGACAGGGCGAGGATTCTGACGGCCCCGGTGACTTCGAGGGATCCGCTGCGCTGAGCCCGTTACCCGCCTGCATGCGTAAAGACGACTTATGCGCCAACCGCTCGTCAAGTGATCGTTACGTCAGTTATAGGTTCTGGTAGCGGTCTCAACGGTCCTCTTCAGGGCCCCCATATTTTGCAAACGGAGCTATGTTTTGAATGCGGCACCCCCTGTCTCTGTAAAAAGTTCACAGGAAAGACCCAGCAAAGGTATGTGGTCCCCAACTTGGATATCGGGTGTTATGATTCAAATAAAAATTGTTCTTGCTTATTTCGCGCCTTTGATCCCAATAAATGCCACCGTTGCAGTCGTCCCGCGGTGCTGTTGCTCGCCCATTCGCCGTCGGCGTGCCTCAGCTTCGTTGTCTTTGGTAGCGGCGCACCGGCGAAGGCGGCCTTTGATCCGAATAAATGCCGCCGCTGCAGCCGTCCCGCGGTGTTGTTGCTTGCTCGATCGCCGTCGGCGTGTCTCAGCTTCGTCGTCTTTGCTAGCGGCGCACCGGCGGAGGCGGTTGATCTGACACACCGCGTTCGGCTTTGGCTAGCAGACGGCATTCGTAAAAATGGCGTCAGCTGTTGCTAGCTTCACGCGGCGGTACCGTGCGTGCTTCTATTCATTCGGCGTTCGTTGCCATGGTGACGGCGAGGAAAGCAGACGAACTTTTTGATGCGGAAGAACGCTGCGGCGCAGCGATACCAGGCGCGTTCTAAGGCCCTTGCCGCATGCTTTTCAATGGGCGGAAGGCGAACAAAAAGAGTTCGAAATAAGGACTTAACGCAGAAGGCTGCATTTCTCCAGCGCCTCATAATTTGACGAGCCTTGCACGAAAAGCAGGTTTTTTGGCCATCCCGCGTCCTGTTTTTTTTATCCGGAACATGGGTCTAAAGTATCAAACTGCCTCGATTTCTTTGTGAGCCACCACCGTCGGTGCTTTTTCCAGTAACCGCGGCAGTTTCTAACAAAACAAATGATGTCTTACCAAGATTAGAATAAGTCAACGAGGACAAAGCTTTCAGTACGAATTTCGCGTCCAGTGAAGCGAGCTCAAGCACATATTTGCCTCTGCAAACTTTCATGATAGTAGAAGCCTCTGAAGCTGTGTGGTAAGTTTGGCCAGTTGATATTTAGACGACACGATGAAAAACAACGCACAAAAGATAGGCCAACAGGAGTAAAAAGAAAGCGTGTGTGTTCCAGATATTGTCTCGTCCTTAGTGCGCTGTTTTTTAAGTCGTGGAGCCTCTGAATATTACTATCTGCTACGTATGGCTCTCATATTTACCTGTAATAACCACCCGAGGAGTGCTCATCTGCCCACGTCTGCGTGTCTTTATGAATTACCATGAAATAGTGCGCAATTCGCAATAAACAGGGTGTTTGCGGGATGATAGGATGTGCATCGTTAACATGTTGCTTGTTGCCGCTTGCAAGAAAGGCGCTAAGGTTTTCATTGAGTTTGACTATTCGGTGCAATGTATGATTCAAGAAGATTACGACGTTTATTGCCTTTCGGATCGACTATTAACTAGGGTGCCTTCATGTGCGCTTTGCATAGAGTGATGCCAACTGCCTGTTTCCCTTTCCCACACCCTCTTCCACCGCTATTTTTTTGCTCTCATTGTTTCCCCGTGCGCCGGAAAGTGGCCTTTGTGTCCATCGGTCCACCCATCCGAGGGGGAAAATGCCAATCCTCCCTCCGTGGGTTCCACAACGCTGCTCCAAACTTGTGAGATAAGTGCTTGTTTCCGGGAGGGTTATAAGCCCCACGGATTATGGCCGAGAACCAAAATGGCTGCTGGTTTGTCGGCGAGTGGTATTACAAAGGGTGGCATCACTCTAGCAAAGCGCACATGAAGGCTCCCTACTATTAACCAGATGATTCAATTTTCAATAGCGTCATGCATTAACAACAATTAACAAAGAGAACAGTTTTACACTCACTATATAATACTATATTCGTGAGGCTTACGCAAATATTCAAAACGTGTTCGTACAATGTTTCGTTTTGTTTCGTTGGATTAACTACATACTAATATATATTTTTTATTTCACATTATCCTGCACTGTTTCACGAAAAAGTGCGAACTCCAATTGATCAATTAGTGGTGGTGTTTTTGACGTCTTTCTTTATCAAAAATAAAAGTTGATTTAGCGATCTATTGTTCATATCCACGGTAAATCGCTAGTACAGGTATTGCAGGAATATGGTTGTGATATCAATGAACATCTAAAAATTATTCAGCCTGCAGCGGAGAACGCGATACAATTTAAATACGCTCTCGTCGTTTTCTTTTTTTCTTATTGTTTTTAGTAAATGTAGTCGCCCACTGCGGCTCCCCTCGAGATTTCGTGAGTGCAATCACGATACAAGATAGCACCACACTGACATATTAAGAATAAATACAAATCAGCCGGAAAAATCAATTCAGAAGTCACAGGACATCGAACAAACACGCAGACGTGCTCCTGACGTTGCTAATTTGTAATAACGACCGGCTGAGTCTAATAACGACACATGCAGAGGCGGAGTTAGAGGGGGGCTCCGGATGTCCTGACCCCCCTCTTGATTTCTGCCTGTGTAAAATTTAGGGTGTGAGAGCAGGGAGAGGGGAAGGGGGCTCCTAAATATATGGTACGCTGTCCAACACATCACCCCTCCCTCAGAAAATTCCTGCATCCGCCCCTGGACACATGTGTACATCCATACCTAGTGCGGAGGTAAAGAGCTCAGTCACAAGGTCAAGTAGGCACAATGCACAAACGCAGAATACCTCGCATAATCATCAATTATGTTTTTTTGGTGTCCGTGCATATATGTAAAACGTAAAAAAAGCTATTAAACGCAAGACATAAAACACTTTTCGGTTCTTTGCCGCGTCTCGCAAAGGAATTCTGGGGTGCCGAGAAGGTACTGCACACTCTGTCGTACACAGAGTCCACACATTATCATGCGCCATTCGAAATTGATCAAAGGTGCAAACACTACACTGGTACCTGACGTCCCGGTGTCCGGGGAAAGGCTCGACGCTAAATTTACCGAATACATTTTTTTTTTTCGTCAAATTTAGCTCGTCACACCGTACACTGTACATGTACCGGATCCGCGGCAAACAGTTGCCAATTACGCCGACTTCCGCATAAACGCTTTTGAAAATAACTGACCTTCAGAGGCCGTAAAGGAAAGGAACGCGAAGGGATGGCCTCTATTTTAGTGGTGTTTTATGGAAACATGTAGCATGGCAATATGGTCATGGTTTATTGGCCTCCAACGTAACTGTAGACGTTTGGTGAAAGACACCGAATGATGGAACTTGACGTATTGTTCATGAATGATGAAAACTCATGAGAATACGATGGAGCGTCTTTTCTCGATTGAAATGGTTAAAAGGTACAGCACCCAGTATTGGATAAAAGAGTGAGCGTATTTTGCGTTTGTAGCGTAATTTAGAATGTCCAGAAAGGAGAATAAAAAAAAGCGGTAAGAAAGGGCGCTGTATGTTTATAAATTTATTAGGCGAATTCCTCTCAGAAGAAACCGATGAGTTGGATTTTACTTTTCCCCGGACTAATTTTGTTGTTTCTGTTGTTTTTTAAATACGTTGGAAATTTAGCTGAAGTAGGCGATTCAAATTGATTGAGTCAAAAATAGCTCAGAAGTTTGTTTTCTCGTAAAAATGTCTCAAAGCTTCACGTGAAGTACGACGGCAAACCCGCCCACGCGGGGGGTGCCCCTTGGGATGGAATCAATGCCTTGGACGCCGCCGTGGGAGCCTACGTCAACGTATCCATGTTGAGACAGCAGATGAAGACCGATTATAGGGCCACAGGTAAGACAACCCTTCTGAGCATAGCTATCAACAGCGCCTAGAATAATCGAAGCCTGCGAACAGACTCTTCTACCCCCTCATCACTTCAACACAATCGGATGGCGTCAACTCGGCGTTTGGGCCGAACGCCGATCATCCTTCAGCTCATTCACCGGACAAAAGGCCCAGCCCAACACTTAAACAGCACTTATGCACGATATGTGTCTCGACTCGATCAATATTTGATGATGTAGAACAGCATGGGATTTAATTACGCTCCGTAATATCTGTCTGTCAAATATATTGATATGGTGAAATATGTGAAACACAAGCGAGCGTGTATTGGACGTTCCTAGTTTATCGCTTATTTCCTCGCCTTTAATTAAGGTATGGGTGGCTTTTTGCTCAGCTTGTACTGGGAGGGAGAAAATAGGTAAGAACTGTATAATTACATCAAGTATATTGTCCTCTCAGTAAGGATTGCATCAGTAGCAGGCATCCAAGTTAATTAGCGCAGTACAGGTAACGCATTCACAAAATGCGCAGATATCTTAGAACGTTTCTTTTCCTATATCTACGCATCTTTATACACATTTTTATACGACAATCGATGCTCACTATACCTCTCATACCTGTCCTTGTTTGTGGAAAAGAGTAAATCTGGAATATCGTCTTGTTCGCTGCTACGAGAGCGTTCAAGTTTCTGCTCCCTTGCACGGACAAATAGGACGTTCACTATTGTTTATTATAGTTTTATACGTTTACGTTGGAAATGTTGGCTTTTCTTGACGGATTATAGGTTCAGAGAGATAACCTCTCTAATCCCAATTTCGAACCTGCGAATGATCAAAATTCAATTAAACTCGATAACAAAAAAAAAAAAAAAAAAAAAAAACCCTGTTCAGAGTTGGAAATAATTTAATTTCTAACGATACTTTCAGACATACAAGCAACAAAAGTACTCGAGTAAGCAATTTAGAAAAGTTGCTTACTCGAGATTAGGCGAATAAAACAGCTTAGAACACGGCTAGAGATTTATAAAACTTTAGATTTTAACCGACTCCCTATTTGGCGCTGCCTCGATTATCCTCTAGGTCTAAAATAAAAAAAAGAATAAAAAAATATCCGCATGTCTGGCTTTTTGCGGAGTGATCGCAGAGTCAATTACAGCCGTCTTAGAAGAGAGCTCGGCCCATTATTGTTCAGAAATAATATTTCTTTATAGCACAAATGGGTTGTTTTACGGTGGTTCTCTACAGACTGCTTCAAAATGAGATACCATTACGACGTTGTTTTAATGAAGACGAACCTCCGCTAATTATAAATAGACGCACTTCGTACCGTCATTCAGCCTTGGATCGTAGGTGAACGAGCCAGCCTTGCTTCTCTTTCCCTAGCCCACAGCTATTCTCCCATTTCCAGCGTCTGACTGTTCGGCGATCTAGCTGAGCCTCAGTGGGCTGCTCCTTCTGTTCAGCCGTGTCCTCTTCAGTCGGCTCCTTCTCTTTGGAGATAGGGCAAAAACACAGGCGAGCTGGTGAAGATCTTGACGTATATATAAAAGCCCACTTAGGAGGATCACGACGCATATATAAGAGCGGTCGTTATTCAAATAAACTAGAAGCTGTGTTTCATCATTCTGTTGTTGTTGTTTTTTTCGTTTTTCTTATCGTTCCGTTTCGCCGTTTACTATAAAACGTTCTTTTGTAAGATAGGCATTGCTAAGACGACCAGAGCACTTCCAGCAACCTCATGTCTTCTATATTAGGTTGGATGAATTGATGAAGTATCTTGGCTATTCCTTCTTTTTAGAGCGGTAGTTTGCGCCACCTAGCCTAGAAACATTTGCACTCTTCCGCTTTAAATTTCGTTATACATTTCGTTTCTCTTTGAACCACCTAAACTACCAGTTTTGTGCATTATCAGACATTGCTAGAGCTCTTTCGCCAGTCTTCAAGCCTCCCTCTTGTGAATGTAATTTCTTATGGCTCCGTCGTTCCATCCTCGCCACCAAAACCAAGTGCTCCGAACAAATCCGTTAGTTTTTCATGGACGGCAGCCAAAAGACGGCTGCACTTCAGAACTAGAGTTCAAGAGCACGCTGTTACCATAGCATGCGGCGCATACGTGTCTATTTCTCGATATTTAACCCTATATCTTTTTGTCTTTAACTCTCCGTTATCGCCTCGAACATGAAGAAAACGTTTCCGGTGAAATATCAAACGCTTGTTCCTATCTTATCATCTGTTCGTGTTACTTGTACATTGCTGAATTAAATGTTTCTTCCATTGTTTCCTCTCATATTTTTATATATGAGTCTTTTACCTTTTTCCACTCGAAATAGTCCACTTAGTTTCATACCGAGTGCTTAGGTATCTAAATATCAACTTTCGGGTTCAGTTTGTTCATTTTGCGTGTTTAAGTTTCACCCATACCTGATCGAATGGTTCTCGTGATTGCCACGCGTCCTCCATTGCTGCTAAGTTTCGTTTAAATTTATATGCACTACTTTCTCTTCTTCCAAAGGACTACCATCCCAAGTGCCAAACAGTCCACCCTCATTTGTTGAATTTCCGATACTTATTAATCTTCCGACCTCGTGCACGGTACCGCGATGCCAAAAGATAGTCCAGGTACCATCACTCCCATCCAAATATCCCCGAGCACTTCATATTTTTCTTTATTAATTTTTGTGGTGCCTCGAGTCTCATCATAGCTGAATTTTTTCTTGGTAATACTATATATTTTAATGGGGTTCCTCTAGATACTTCCTTCACTCATTGAGCCATATACCTCCACATTTTAATATTTCTACCTGGTCTATTAGTAATGCCTAGTATTGTCAGGGATTTCCTATTTTCATTGCTAAGCACCATTACTCCAGACTTGTCAGTACTAAAATTCAGGCATAAATCGCTCCTTTCCTCTCCGCATAAACGAGTCAGTTCCTGCAATGCATTTCGTATGTATGCCACGTGCATTATATACTATAATCCATTTTCAAAGTTTGCCCTTTGTTTGAAGCTGCACATTTCTGTACAATGACGGACACAAAGCTCGAGCTTGGTGCGTTCGATTGAGCCTCGGCTGCACAAACTCCTGAACAGCGGGAGCTAAACTCGGAGCTACCCGCGGGTGCCACTCGCATGCTCCGCGGTGTCGATTGGCGAACAAAATGTTTTCGCATTTAATAACTACCCCTTCACATGCCCCCTCATCCCCCCCCCCCCCAACCCTTCTAGAGAAAAATCCATTTGTATGAGAAATTCCTAGTGTCCAATAAACACATATGAATCACACAATATATCTGAGAACGTATAAGGACCACATTTCAACTGTATAAAAACTATATAAGAACATGTAAAAAAATTATAAGAAACTTGTGAAAAGTTTCTTATGTGATCTTACATATCTTATATAGTACTTGTATGGTTATAATATGGTTCTTTTATGTTAGTATATATGTTATATCATTTATATGTGTTTATTGGATACAAAAATTTCTCATACAAATGAGACTTTTAATATCGTCCCCCTTCCAGCAGAATGATAGGGTGTCGGGCTCACAATCCTGAGGTACTGGGTTCGATCCTTCTGCGGGGCTTCAGGAAAGTTATTACTACCTTCTCAATTGATCCACTCACCACTCTGCTGCTCCTGCGCATTTGGTTCGTGTGACAGAGCAGATTTTCTACCGGAGTGGGTGCCGCAACATTTGCAATTGCATTTAAAAATCTTTGGCATTTAAAAAAAAGTATTCCTTGAAATACTCAGCACAAGGGTACCTGCTCACAGTAGCCCCGCAGACGTTACTAGAAAAAAAAAAGGCGAATTGCTAGGCAGCTGTGTTGTTCCCAGACACCAGACGCCTACGTTCACGGCACCCCTCATCAGGTTGTTTCACACTTAATAGCTGTTTCTAGATAACGCGATACTTCCGCTACGGTGTCTGGCAGGCGTCTCCTACTGGTGTGTTTACCGCGTCCGACAAAGTGGTCCCTCAATTTCCGCCCGATGACCTCATAGATGTGTCACGCTGTCGTTTGTCGCGATCCTGGCAGCGTCCCAACAGCTGTCGTGTATATAGCAGACGCCTGTCCTGCTGCAGGTCCGGCTCTCCAGTGTGAAAGTCTACGAAAGCTTCGGCAGCCGGAAGTTGGGACGCCGTGACGACAGCGACACTCGCGTTCGGTCGTGCTAGTCGCAATCTTCTCGTTAGCATTTCTACGACCAACCGCTGGGATCGCGACATGCAACAGCATGGCACTTGGGATACTGTGACGTCATTTGTTGCCACTTTGGAACCACTTTTGATGTATGGGCAGCATAGGACGCTAACCACACCAGTCGAAGACGCGCTCCAAACGCCAGGGCTTAAGAAATGCAGGGTTAGAAGAGTCTCCGAAATCCTATGGCTCCGTAGAAACTGCGAGCGCGGTCTTATTCCATACGCGTGCCAATGAACAAATCACGGCGAAACGCGTGATCAAAAGAAACCACTCCACGTTGTTCTTAGGCTGTCAGTGTCCGTAGCATCTCAAGAATCTCAGAACTTGGCAACGAAGCTAAGGCACCCGCAGCGTGATCGGAAAATTCGAAAAAAAATAATCGTTTATACTTTTCGAAGAAAAACATATTAGGGGAAATAGCGTTTTCAGCGTTGTATTACGCGTTATCCCGTCTAAATAAACCACCTTTTAGGTTTAGTCGAAAGAGACCGAAATACATGCTCATAATACTGCGCTTGAAAACGCATATTTCTCTATTCCATTTGAAGTTGAAGTTTGGAATTCATATTGTTAAGCATCCACTCGACTTACGAGAAAACGTCTTTAGTTATTTTGGATAATATGACATAGCGCGCTTGCAGTCACGCGTCACCGATATCAGAGTGAGCAACTTTAGTTACAAAAGGTGATTTTGTTTTATGGTAAACTTAGGTACAAAACAACGAGAGATTCCTAATATGTTTTACGATGCGAATTTCGGTGACCCGTGCCTCGGACCCACTGAAATTAAAT